CATACAAATATACAAATGAGTAATACACAACAATATTCCTCACCACCGGGTGACCAAGGCTCAGCCTGTTCCCAGCTAACAATCCCAGAGCAGGGAGAGTCCCGAAACCACGATCCAGGAAAGGAGATAAAAGCCCATGAATCCAAGAGTCCAAGAGCTGACCGAGAGAGCAGGACAACCCCAAGAGAGGGCTGACCCAGAGAGAGAGAGCCCGGAGAAAGAGAGAGAACCTTCAGATAGATCCTCATCGATATACTGGGCATAACCTGCATGATATGGCATGTATCATTGGCCAGTTTGGGTCTCAGTCCTAAACCTAAGATCGAATCTTAGGCTAGTAATTGGGACTGTGCTCCCTCCCAGCTTCTCCTGTACTTGCAGACACTGGTACAGCAGAGAAGCTGAGAAGTCCTTGACTGTCCTGGCAGCAACTGTAAACATCAGTATGTTATCAGCCTTCTCCTCAGCACAAATCCAAAACATGGCCTCTCACTAGCTACTACAAAGAAAGTTAACTGTCCCAGCTGAAAGCAGGACAGAAGAATTTAGAGGATTTGGTGGCTTGATTTGGGCCTTTTTTATTTCTTTTTTTTTTTTTTTTTTTTTTGTTTTTTTTTTCTCTGGTTCACTTTCTGTAATTATTGTCGATTTTAAAGACTGAAGTGGAATCATTGGAGTTTTATAGTCTTCCATATCAGAAAGTTTTGCAAAATGTATAAAAAAACTAAAAAAGGCCAGCCAAAGCTTTGAAGGACTATTTCTTCAATGATTCCTCAGGCAGCATGGATATTTTTACTACTGTTTAAGTGAAGGATTATCTGATTTTGAAATCATACTTAACATTTCAACAAGTAAATACCATCTAGGAAATACAATTTTTGTTAATCTTGGGAACAGAGTATCATAACTGAGGTTTCAGACTCCTCCCCCTGAAAATCTGAGTGTATGTCTGTATTTAGACAGAGACTACAGAAAGAGATTGTGAATTTTAACAGTTCTATCTTTTTTTTTTTAGCCACATTTTGTCTATCTCTATGGCATTAAAAATCCTAAAAATTCTTTGTCCTATGCCTTTAGCCAAGAGCATAAAAGTGATAACAAAAGAGTATGTTAGCTGTCACAACTATTGTTGCCTATTACAGAAATCAAAGCTATAGATGAACAGAAAACATTCTTTAAGGAAATGCAATACATGGCAAAGTTGTAAAGTCCAGCACCTGCATCTCTGGGTTCTCCATTCTGTATCCTATTCCATACATGAACTCCATTCCTAAACGATCCTATTAAATAAGGACATTAAGTACTCAACTATTCCACCAGTGCAGTGGATTACTGATCTGTACAAGGACTTACTTGTACCATAGCCAGGAGAAAAATATTACAAGGAGATTACCAAAACAGTAATGTCCAAAAGAAGAAGCTAACATTTCATTTCCTTTGGAACTTTCCCTTCCTTGACACACAATCCTCCCTAAGGATTTCAGAAAAATCGGGGCTGGTGTCATAAGTCCGTGGCCTTTCCCACCTGTGAAGACTTGAAAGAGGTTGCATTTGGTTGGAAATCCTTATTTTGTTTCGTTTGCTTGTGTAACTGTGCAAGTTCAATGACAATTTTTCATAGGAACTAAACACCTACATCACTTCAGCAGTACAGGAAGTTTCTCACATTTTATATTATATCCAAAATATGATGGAAGGAAAAGGGAAATCCAGGGTAAAAACCACACAACCCAGAAAATTACAAATTATTAAACTAAAATCTCATTTCTCCTTTTTCGCTCCCAATTTCCTAAACAAAATCATTCATAGAACTAAAACAAGATACCACATTCCATGTTAAACTGTCAATTTTCATAGGAATTCTTTTTCAAGCGATGAATGCAGAATCTCTTGTTCCTTCATCACAGCAGCTGTCTGTCATACTATGCCCGAAATACACGTTTGTGCCATTTGCACTCTTCATAAACCATGGTGATCTCTTCTTGTGGAAGTCAAAGGAAGTTCAGTGAAAGCTGCTATCATAAAGCCTTTTGTTCCCATACATACTGCTTGTGTTTTATTTGAAAATTTTAACCAACAGATCATTCAGTCAAATGAATTCACCTGAAAGGGACTTCTTTCACCGCTAGTATCTCAACAGGAGAACACTGCCAGCATAATACTCAGGTGTTTTTTTCAGAAAACAGAGAGGATAGAATTATTGCCATTAATATTGAAATCTTTAAACTCACTCTTCTCACTACACTTGATAATATTTTTCAAAATTTAAACTACAAATAGAACAATATGTTCCATAACTTAAGACTGTATTTTTATTCAAATTAAATTTGCTTTTATGTCTGTCATTCTTTTCTCTGTCATTTGACTCTCATAGTGCACAATGCAATTAAATCATAGAACTAACTCCAAACGCTCAACATACACAACTCCTAGTGAAGAGATGAGAGAAGATGATATGAGAACAGGAAAAGAGTAAGCCAGTATTAAAAAAAAAAAAAAGTCAACACTCCTTTCTTTTAGTTATAATTCTTGCAATCACGAACAATAAAATGCAGTTAATTCTCTGCAGATGCCCCTGTTTCACCTAACTTGTTGCCAAAAATTCATCTGAGGATTTTTAGCAAGAGAACTGTAATTCACTGGAAAACTGTAGCTTAATGAAAAAAAAAAAAACAAGCAACAATCTGTTAATACATAGTTCTTTTAAGATACAGCTAATGCTGCATTACTAAGTTATGAGCTGCTACACATTTACAGGGGGAGAAAGTACAATTATTACAGTGCTAACTTCGGTGGGCAGTTTACAATTTTGGACTATGTTAATGGGTATTAGTTAAGAAATTGCAAATGAAATTACATTCAGGGTCAAATGCAGTGATTCAGGAACAGCTTTAGACTGCCCAATAAATAGTTAAGTGGGTGGAATTCACAATTACCAGTTCTAGCAAAAGTCTGTGTTATATTTACTTTTCTCTCTGCAGAAAACCACATCTCAAACAGTGACAGATGAAAATTAGCAGGTCTTTTTCCTTCTGAGAAAAGTTTCTTTTTGCTTGCAATGTGTATTTCAATTATATGTATGACAGTATGTTTTTTTAGTCAAAGCTTTGAAAAGGCTACAGTGTCACAAAGAAAGGCTTTCAAATGAAAAGCCAGTGGCTAAGTAGCAAACTGCACTGAAGAACAACTGCATGTTAGAAGTCAGTAGGGCAGATTCTTAGGCAGTGCAAATTGGAACAGCTCTTATCATAATGGTGCCACAACATTTTACATAGGCTGAAAATCTCATGCTGGTTTTGTAAAAGAATGCAAAGAATAGGTTTGTATTTTTAATGTAACTTTAGCAAAGATTTAACTGTAGCAACCTTCAAAGCATCTCTGGAAACCTCCAAAACAAATGCTAAGATATGTAAAATAAAATACAAAGTAGCAGATGACAGATCCTTCTCCTCCCCTCTCATAACTCAGAAGGTATGCAGGTGTGATTCATGCACAGTAAGCCAAGAAAGTTTACATTTTTCAGTACCAGTAATTCTGCATATCTGTAAAAATTCTTTTAATGGAAGTATATTTTAAGGACATGAAAATTCTTCCAGAAATGGACTTACCTCTTCCAGAGCAAGGTAAATTAGAATTTCCTTGGCAATTCTTAGCACTTTCCTCAACTGACAATGGACAAGAATGTGGATGTTCACACTTCTTCCCAGTCCATCCTTCTTTACAGTCGCACCTTCCACAATTACACTGTCCGTGACCTTTAAAATGAAAACAACTAAAGATTAGTTTTCATACTGATGACAGGTATTAAAACCTCATGATTAGATGAACTTAATCAAATTTCTGGTTTCACTAAATAGTCAGATTGTAAATAAAATACAATTAACTCACTATTATCTACTATTTTCTGACAATGGCTCTGTAATATAGTTTCTTTTGAGGTGTATTTCCTTTTAATTATCTCTCTTAAGGGTTATTTTGCCACCTCTCACACACACTTCATGAGAAAGGGAGGACTAGAGCCTGCAAATACACATTTGCTCACTGTCTGGAGAAGTTGGGTCATCATAAGGCAATGTTTCATTTATCTTCATGCTTTTCTTTTTCTACCACAGTTGCAGAAACTTCTCTAAGTAATATATCAACACTATCTTTAATCTACTCGCAATCAGTGTGATCCACTAGAGACGAGCAATGCCACACCAATTCCATTTTTTAAACCACTGCCCTCTACTAAATTGTGATGTCCAGATGAAAATACTGGACATAATCAATTCTCATTTCCATAGGGTGGTCAGATGTGGTTTTGGTATCTCATTATCTCATTTGACTCTTCCTGACCATGTCTGAACACAGCAATATAAATGCAACTTTCACTGCACAAGCTAAAGTAAGGAAAAAAGCAACTTAACTAAACAGAAGCTTATCTGTGAAGTTTCTTCAAAAAAAATGTGACAGCCAAGAAGTTAGGGGTGGATATCTTCTGAGAACGTAACCTGGAAAGACAACCAATCTGCTTCTTCTAACTGAATGCTAACATATCCAGAACAAGAAAACCCAAGCTAATTGTCTGTCTCTCTTCATTGTGAGCTTAATGTTCTTTGCATAAAGCAGTGGGACCCTGGCAATATAAAATGTTCCTTTCACTGGATGAGGAAAATTTGAGCATCAAGCCTTGATGGCAGGGGGGTTGGAACTAGATGATCTTGAAGGTCCCTTCCAATCCAAACCATTCTATGATTCTATGGTTTTGTCAGCAAAAACGTTCCTTGCCACAAAATCAAATATTTATTTGCAAGAGGTCTGACAGCAAGTTAGATTTTCTCTCAGTTTTCAGATAGTCATCATTCATTGGACTCAGGACCCCAAAGCATTGCTCTGATGTTCACTTGTCTATCCAATTTCTTCTTGACAACCACAGCAACACAGATTTTATATCTCTTTCTAACCATTTTAAGTATTTTAAGCATTTCTAAGCATTTTAAGACTGGCTTGTATTTCTAAAACTTATGCATTTATCCACTCACAAGGAGAAAATGGGAAGAAGCAAGCATTCTGTGAACTATCAGAGTAGTTCCCAGAATGCATTTTTATTAATTTCAGAGGAATAACTTTTATTTACACTAGTTATTTGTTTTCCTTGAAACGCGTTAAAGGCTTCCTCTTCTTTAGAGAGTAGATTTAGACTAGCTATTAGGAAGACATGTTTTACTGTGAGGGTGGTTAGACACTGGCACAGGTTGCCCAGGGAAGCTGTGGATGCCCCATCCCTGGAGGTGTTCAAGGCCAGGCTGGATGGGGCTTTGAGCAACTTGGTCTAGTGGGAGGTGTCCCTGCCCATGGCAGGGGAGTTGGAACTCGATGATCTTTAAGTTTCCTTCCAACCCAAACCATTCTGTGATTCTAGGATTCTGTCTCTTGCTTTCATGTGTACCAGCCAAAAGGTTTCAAATTGCACATACATTCCCTGATCCTGATAGATACTTACGAGAGGATTATGTTCTTTCATATGATATTTTATCTGCTAGAGACACAACAAATGAGTTAATGAGATGTGAATGTAGGCGTTTTCTTACAGAAGCTGTTTTTCTTTCTATGTTAAGTCATGAAAGCTATTCTCTCTTTAAAGGAAGAGAGTCACTTTAATAATATGAACACCTCTGAAAGAAAATAATTCAATAACACATTGAGCAGCACTTCAAATGTTAAAAGAAGGCATCTGGTTGCAGTATGAGTTACCACAAACTGACAGTCTCCCCAAGCCATATGAAGATTCTGCAGGGAGCTGTTGTTGTGTGATGTTAAATCCTCACAGCAGGGCTGCCTATTCCTGTCATTTGTAGTTTATGAAATAAACATAGCATTTCATTCAGTTACAGTAAAACTCTTTACATGTAAACATGATTTCCTATCATTTCAATCTGCCACTCGGAACAATGTAATTTCCTGTCTCTACCTACTACGTAGGCAGAACAAGACAGGAAAAGTTTTGTATTAATCAGCTCCATTTGGCATAGGTTTTAAGAGAGATGGATTATTTTCTCTAATCTGACTAATCCCTCTTGGGTTCATCCTAAAACAATTTACAAATAATTTTGAGAAAAATTAGGAGATTTTGCAGACACACCTAACACATGCACACTTTGTGCACTAAGTAAATTTACTTCACGTTAAAAAAACAAAACAGCTGTCCAACTACAATTCTGCTCGTAAGTCTTTAATTTAATTGCATATTCTGTCTGTCTATCAGAATAAAACAAAATTAATACTTATGCATCTTGTCCATTTCTGAAACAGGACTAAACAGCACAACTGTAAGACATTGTTCACACTGCTTCATGTGAAAATGGAGAGTTTTGCACAATCTACTTGAGGAATGCATACTAGGCCAGCTAAGGCTAAAGTAGGTTCTTCTAAAACATAATGGAAAGCGAAGGGATAGGAATAAGAAGCAGCACTAAAATTTTTGCTGATTAGATAGAACAACTAAGCTATACTTCAACATGGGTTTTAGTTACATCAAGCAAGCCATATGAGTACCTCCTTTTGTATCTCTCATAAGGTTCGCTCATTTACAGTTACGTCTGCTTAATAAAGAACATTTTACCAGTCCTTAATCCAATGTCAAATGGCTACACCTTCCCCTCAACTCCTCTGTAACTGTCCATACTTTCTTACACTCTGTTTCTTACTACTATTACCACACTGGGCAGCACTGGCAGCAATGGCAATAACATCTGGGAAAGGGGGCATTAAAGCCCTGTTTAAATGATGCGGCATTAGCTGTAGATGCCACAGGTTTGCTTGAATCTAATTAGGCTTGAAACTCTTGTGTTCACCCTTAGTTACAGAACACATTTACCACATTGTTTTTCAGCTTTGTATTCCTTAGCTGATGCTGATATTTTGATCAATCCCTGAGTGCTAAAAACATACTCAGCAACACAATAATGCATTCAAAAATTGACAACATCCCAAACTTAATTCTCCTACTGCTCTCATGTCTGCAGTTCTACATCCTTCCAACTTATTACTTAAATAAACCTATATGACATTTGTAGGCGGCCAGAACAGTGGCAAGCAAATTAATACAATGAAGGTTTTCAAAAAATGTTTCTTTTTTTTTCCTCCAGCTTTATTAGCTGGTGATTCATCAATATTTATTTAAAAAAAAAACAACACCCACAACAGTTGAGAAACCTCCCACCTTTATAACAGGCAAAGAAGAGGCTGAGAATTTTAGGTATCGTGTTTGTTTCAGCCTTTTCTCCCTGTTACAAACAACTCCTATTATCTTTCTATAAGGGGTCTCTCATTCTAGTAACAGAAGGAGAATATACAACATCATTATCTTCCTTGATGTGACTGCTTCCTTACGAGCATTGATTAGGCCAGATAAGATTTCTACAGGACACATTAGAGGACACAACCTGTAATTTGTCAAGTCCATCTGAAACCACTCACACTTATTTTTGCAAAGTTCCTGTGTGTACAAATTGCATGCTGTGTATTTATGAAAGTCCTTCCTTCCTGCCCAGTAGTAGCATCTTTATCAGTAACTGTACAAAATTGTATGCACGGTCTCACTGAGGATCTCAGATTTTGTTATTTGATACATGGAGTATCCATCTAAATACACCACAAATCTTGGATGGGCTGCGGACTTTATTTAGTTTGAATACAGTGCTCTGAAGTACAAGTAGAAGAAAAAAGGAAGGTGTATGTGTCTAAGATGTACAGTCAGTGATGTGTAGCTGGACCACACATATTTTCCACGTATTGATGCTCTGCTTGTTCTCAGGCCAATTGGTATTCTCAGGGTACTGTTTTCGATTAACTCATTAACTCATTTTTCCTCAAATTTCTTCCTCTCACTTGTCCTCTTCCTGACACGTAACATGACATAACTAATAAAATTTGATATAAAAAAATTTCAAATTTAAATTTCCCCAGGGAAAGTTACATATATACTTTAAAGTTTCAACCATTCTCCAATTTATCTTAGGCTACTTTGAAAACAAGGATATTAGAAGGCAGATGGACAATCAAAAGTATTTTGTATTTGGTAAAAGCATAGAAAAAAAAAGACGTTTTAAGAAAGCTTTAGACCTTTTTTTTTTTTTTACAGAATTATATCTTTTAATTTAAAACATCCAGTCCCAAAAATACAACCACAGAGCTAAAGCTTGATATATTTTAAGCTAGGAGAAGGAGAATTGGAGTGCAAAGGAAGAGCAAGATCAGACTGATTGGATGCTTTTTTTATAAAACTACACATAAATTCCTTTTAAATATATTCCTTACCTGAACAGAAGTCATCAGAATATCTATCATACACTGCTTTGCAGTTTCTTTCATCACACTCACAAGTATCTCCATGAATATCTCCCCAGTCACCAGTCGGGTCCACATCATGGCATGTGCATTCCCCACACACACATGTGCCTAAGAAGGAGAGAGAGAGAAAGAGACAGAGAGACAGAGATAGAAGATTAACTGAGCAATGTAGGGTAATAGTAGTTTGATTACAGGAATTTACACCTGCGAATTTTCTGCTCTTACAGGAGTGCAGTGTCAAAGCTGCAAGTGTTAATCATGAGCATATGCTCATCTTCTGTGATTTAAAACCTTCTGTGATTATTTAGTAGTAATACTTTATACAAACAAATTGGCTTCCTGTTAAGTTTCTTTTTGCAGTTGAGCCTTGTTAGGAAACAACAGAAAAATGTAGTGCACAGAAAAATCGTAAATCTTTGACATCAACAGTAATTTGCCCTGACACTAATGACAGTAAAAATCAGTGCTGTTTAAATGACTTGGGCTTGGGCACAGTGGATCATTAATAATTGTTAAAGCATAAACATTTAAAGTACAAGGAAAACCGAATTCTAATCCAGTTGTAAATGGCTAGGAGGTCACTCTTTACCTAACAAGAACATCAGCACAGATCTACATGAAAATGATACTTTTTCACTTTTTCCAGGTCAATATTCAGGGCTACACCCTGTTGTTTACAAAAAGAAGGGAAATGTGAAATATGACAACAGATATTAACTCAGCACAACCTTAACAATACACAGAAAACATGCATCCTACATACTTAGGAAATATCAGAACAAAAAAAAAAAAAGAAGACAGTTTTCTTATTCAGAAATCCAAAATTGTTTCAGGGCCATACACTCACTACTTTTTCTGAGGTGCCAAGAGGCACAAAGAAGCAGCCTAAATTTACAAGGTGCATGCAGTTCATTTCCTGGAGAGTAGCTTCACCTTCTGCTACTCCACCAAAGCCTTTGTCTTCTTATTCAGATTAGTCTGAAAAATATAATGCATTTGAGGACAAGAGGACAGGGTGATGAAAGAGTACATATAAATACGGGCACATTCTCTAAAAAGAGAAAGTCTATGGAATTGTGTGTGCATGGTAGTTACATGAAGCAGAAATAGCTGCTGCCCTGTTTAGTGCTAAAGCCACCAAGAGAGGTATTTTCACAATTCAGTGACATCATCGAAGAAGAGAATTACAACAAACAAACCAAGAAACAAAAAAACAGAAAATGAGGAAATGCCTCTGGAGAGTGATTAATCCTCCCAGAAACAACTTCAAAGTGAATTTGGATCAGCTGTCCTGGATATTGCAAAGCAAAACACCATCTCACCTAAGCTTAAAAAATCTAAAGGTTCACATCTGGTTTCAGCTGATTGACTAGAAAGTTGGTGGAAAGATACAGACAAGTTATCCATCTTAGCACTGAAGGAGGCTGGACAGCAAGGTTAACCTTGATATTTAATTTTTAGAAGGTTCAAGACTGACAACATGAACTGCACCTCTATCACAGGATGTATAAACACAGAAAACTGGGTAAATAGGACTAAAGAGAGTAGAAATACTGTGTTGAAAAGCAACTTTATGTAGTTAAAAGCCTACAAATTTTTTATGTAGACAAAATCAAATACATGAAAGATAAAAATACAGAAGTATCCCATGAATGTATCTTTGTATAGGAGTTTGCAGCTATTCAGAATATCAGCTATACTATTTGTCCTCATTTTTCCCAGTTAAAATGTGAATTTAAAGAAATACTTGCACATTAAAATTTCAAATTTGAACAAGACATTGCTTTGGCAAGAAGTTCTTTGACAAGAAATTACTTTCTTGGTGCAAACAAAGCATCTGATCTGAAGCCACTACGATATTTATTATTTCCAGAATTACAGAAAAATTTTTACTGTTGAAGTCCCAAGACTAAATGAGCCTACACGATCTCTGTATTTGAGCCAATCTTTCAATTTCCTCATAATTTAGAAAAGAGAGTTTTCTAAATACTCTCAGGATAATTAGATGTTCACACTACAGCACGTTTTGTCAGTAGAGATTTTTTTAAGAGAGGTATCTGTGTGACTTGAGCTTATGTTCTACTGTAATTATTCTGGACTATTGACAAAAAAACACCCGACATTTCTTTAACTCTTTGTTCGATGAAGCCAAACATAGCAGCTAGTGAAAAGGAACCTTATTTTGTGCTATTTTTGTTTTCAAAATGGCAAAATTAGGCTGAAGTATAAGGTAAAATTCAAATTCTGGGACTTTGTGCAGATAAAACGCCATGTAGTTAGAAATATTGTGTGAAGTCTACCTTTCCAGGTCCGTATGCATTCCACAGCATTTTTACTGAACACTTCTTAGTTGCTTTTTCAGGTTGCAGTGGAAATTAAAAGCTTTGTTTTTTCATTTTCCCTTAACAGTTGTGGGTCCTTGGTCTTCTTTGAGCGTGAATTGACATACAGTCCTGTTGGCCTTACAGCACCAATCCATTTAAAGTCAAAAATCTTTCAGTATTTTATTCTGCAGGATAGGTCTCTCACCAAAGTGGATATAACAAATTATCCTGCTCAGTCTCACTACTAAAATGAAGGATGAAGGATGAGAACAACTTGGGTCAGCTTAATCTAAAAACAGCTGTGGATATGTAAAAGTTTGTACCAAAACACACGTATCTACCCACTCACTTGGAAACATATATCCAGATTTGAAATGAGTGAGAACAAACTAGAAATTATTAGCAAACACTAGTACAGAAAATGTGTATTGTAAACCAAAAGCAAGCTATATAAATATGCATAGAAGGAATGTGCAAATGACACACCTCTGTTGCTGCAGATTTTGCCATCTGGAGATGTACATCTTTTCTTGATCTCCCAGGGGGTGATGTCACACTGGAATTCACATTTATCTCCATGCCAACCAGCCTCACAGTAACAGTTTCCACAGTAACACTTCCCATGGCCTTTACAGATTTTACACAGTGAGAAAGAGGCAAGTTTTTAAACAGCATTAACAATTTACCTGGTTTGAACTTTTCTTTTAAAAACTTTCAGTGCTAGACTCAGAAACAATTTGTAGACCATATATGCCTACATAAAATAAGACAAAGGATACCTGAATTATACTTTCCCCAAGTCTTTTTTAGAACATGTTTTCATTTAATCACAGATTAAATCTAATCAATAAACACTAAGGAAGGAACATCAATATTTTCATATTTGTAAGCTTAATTTTTGAAGTTTTATAGGTCGATTTGGAAGACCATAAAAGTAATAGTTAAAATTTAAGCACAGCTTTAAATGTTAAGATGGAACACACTTGCCCACCAAACTTGGCATGTCTAAGAAAGCATTGTGTGTTCTTGACTCCTCAGATAACTCCAGTAGAGGATCCCTGATTTACTACAAACTGTCTATATTGTGTATGGCTTCCTTTCTTACCTGTTAAGAAGATTTTTGAACATGGCTAAACCAGCTCATGAAAGACAAGAATTAGTAAAATTAATCTTTTAGATGTTCATTTAACTAATCACACATCTCCCAAAAAGATAGTTGGGTCATCTGAGGCTTGGTGAAACCAGCTCTTAAACATTTTGATCCAATAAGGTACTTCTGCCATGTGCTTCAATGACACAAAGCATTTAAATTAAGTAGCTGCGACTCTTACTAATCTTAAAGCTATAAGTTAATTCTTTACTAGAAACATCAAGTCAGGATCTTGTCCTTTTTTCCCTCTAGGTATGTTAAGCTCCATAGATCTGTTTGCCTCTATCAAAGTCTAGTCAACTTGTATCCTTAACTATCAAGAGTGCAAATTTAGACCTACGGAATACAATTTTTTCCTGTTTTTACAATCACACGTGGATTTTTCATTGTAATGGTTTGGTTTTATGTACAAAAATAACAAAAGATAAAATATCATCTTACATAGATAACTAAACAACAAAGACAGTCTAAAATATTGCTTATTACCAAAGGATTGTTCTTGAACCGTCAAAAAGAAATAAAGGGCAAAATGGTGAAGAAGTAAATTAATTTGATCTACTGGCAATTTTTTCAGATTAAAACATCACTGCTTCATTCTTCACTCACACTTGTATAGTCCCCAAATAGATATGAATTAAATTATACAATTGGCCACTACCTCTTGCCCTTGACTGAAGACAAAATCACTCCATTAGAGCAAAAAAGCCTTGGATAAAAAAGATCAGAATCAGAATTTAATTTGCTAGAAACCATGATACTTTATTAAAAATAAGCTGCAATTTGATTCTGAAGTTTATGTGAAGTCAAACAAAAAGTCATACAGTCAACTGACCGATAAAAACCCAACTGAGGCTTGAAAAACTTGATACATCTTTGTAACTCTGCTCTATCTAAGAACTGAATTGCTTAAAAAATGCAATCCCTTTGTGCAAAGATTAAAATGCATGTTATCCATATCTCAGCATGGCTTTGTATGCTTTTTCAGGATAAAATCCCAGCTCACAGCTGCAGGCTTTAAAAACATGTGTGTAAATAGAAGCTTTTGTTTTTTCATTACTTTGATCCTCCTGAGTTGGCTTTCTTTGAAGACAACTAAAATCTTAAAAACTTCTCTCTACCTTCAAGGGCAATAAAGGGTATGTAGCAACTAAAGCAGGTGCTACACAAACTGAAAATACAACAGGCACTGATCAGGTTCACCCTGTCTGAAAGAGTATCCATGAGCCATTGCTAGCTAAGCTAAACTGGGTTGGAACACCATTTCTTCACTACATCATTAATAAAGCTATACTCCATGAATAAACCTAAATGATTCCTGTGGTGGAAATCCTGTGGAAGGAAAGATGGGACAGAGTGTATGAAAGGAGACATCAGAGTGGGAGAGAGAAGCCATAACCAGATAGGCATGTGGAGTCTGCTTTTTCTGCGATGAAGTTTTGTACCTTTGACCTTCAGTTCATATGCTGTCCACTTTTCTGCATAAGGCCTGGTTCAACGTATGGTTATGTAAGGCAAAAATCTAACATTGATAAGCTATTTTCATAAGCTTTTCAGCTTACAAAAACCTAACCGAGTCAAGCACACTATTAGTTTATATTCACTTTAGAAGGCTCCAGACCTTACATAGCTTTGCATACTCATGAACCACAGACCTTAGAGACTTGAATCTGCCATCCTTTTTGACCTCTTCCTTCAGCATACTTTGATTTATGCATACACATAAACCTAGTTTGTTACAGAGATGCATCTGGTCTGTTCTGGAATATGGCACCATTGGACAAAGCAAGGGGAAATAAAAGCAAAGAAAAGCCTAATGATATAAACCAGCAGCAACAGAGGTGGGGAAAGAAAACCTGAAAAAAAAACAGCAGCAGAAGAATTTACTGTAACTAAATAAATGGTAAATTTATTTAGTTAGTATTGTACCATATGTAATGATTACAAGCAAATAAATATAAATGGGATCATTGGCACATAAAAATTATTGTCCTCCTTTTATTTTATTTCAGGCAATTACTGGAAATATTGTACTCTACTCCTCCTGGATTTGGACTTCAGAAGACCATTCTGTTTACCCTCATTTAAAATCCCTACCTAATCCTGTGCAAAAAAAAGTTCTTTTTCTTTTCTTAAATAAACAGAATTTATTTTGTTCTCTGTGTAAGGATGAAGACAAAGCTATTTTACACAAGTAGTCTCTCTCTTTATACACACACACACATGCAGACAATTATCAGAGTATGAATAGTCTAAGAGCAGTTCTGAATCCTCCTGTACGCATACAGAGTATGGTGTGTATAGCTTGAAAAATATTTGTAGCACCTTCTGGCTCAAGGAAGAGCCTCCCTAGTAATATAGTAAGCAACATTTATAATGCCATAAATAGTGTGTATTACAAAGTATTTAATTGCCAAGTTCCTATCTTATAATGAAATTAAAGCACATTTTGAATTTTGGGTGCTTTTCTATCTGTCAGCAGAGTTCTCTACATTTATTTTCTTGCCTTTCCCATCACAAATGAAATTTCTCTTAATTCTTTCCTTTTCCTTTTTATCTCCTGAATTGCTTCTGAGTTCTCATCCTTCATGTATTCTTGTTCTTTTTAATTTTTGCTACCTTGCAAAATTCTTAATAATCTATTTTTCTTTTTTCTTTTGTATTTTTTTCTATGTCCTCCATCTTGCTCTCATCTGTGCCATAAAACATTCACATTTCTTATAGCCTACCAAAGACAGACACGCTAAGCTATGAATTACTTTAGTCAATTACCTTGTATAATCCTCTTTGCAGTTCTTCCAAAGAGAAGAGGACGTCACAGGATTTCTTCATTTTTTAACCTTCTGCTTAGCACATTTCTGCATCTGAAATTCCCACTTACAATTTGCAAGCTAAATTCTTGCAAATATCGTTACTTTTATTTTGTCATACATTCAGTAAAGACATTTTGTAGGTCCATACAATTAAATTATTTTATAACAGCCTGTATTAATCTTCACTGTCCTTCTTGTACTCAGTAAAATACATACCTGTACAAATCTCTTCTGTCTCATCATCTATGCATTCTCTGTCATCACATTCACAAAATTTACCATAGACCAGTCCATTTCCTTCTGAGTTTGCACATTTACATCTGCCACACAGACATGTGCCTGTAAACATTTAAGACAGTACTCAATGACTGCAGTTTATGGAAAGAGTTTCATTAGTCCATCAGAGATGGTACATACTTTGTTTCTGAGAAGGCTCAAATCTAAAGATCATCCAGCCAAATAAAGACACCCCGAAACAATCCACATCAACAAAAAAGCCTAATCTTAGCTGTAAATGGATACAATATTCAAGTGGTTCTTAATAAGCAGAATCATGTTTTCCTAACAGAAATTTACTCCTGGAGTTGTCTGTCTGAGTTCATACACCTGAGGTATGACACCAGCTTTGGAAATTATACCTTCTGCCTACTGAAAGTAGTAAATTTAACTCAGTTATCTTATCAAGAATGAAGCCTGGTTTTGTCCAGTTCCATAGCCATGCTACAGGAGAGTAACACCATGGCTACTGACAAACTGAAAATATGTTTGCCTAAGTTCACAAAGTTCCTTTGCACTCTGGTTTCCAGTCACTTTTCTAGTTAACATCTGTAAGGCTCCAGATTTAAAAAGTCCAGCCTTGTAGAAAAAGACAGGGATCAAAGGAAGAAAACATCAGTGAAGAACATCTGCATGAGGAGCTTATGATCACATGTCAGGAAAAAAAGGACACAATCTAGAAAGCAATTACATTAATTGCACAACAGACAAACTAATTGCAGAGAAATACATTCAGAGTGCTAGCAAACAAGCCATAAGGATTTTAATAGCATATCAACATTTTTTCTATAAAGTGCATGTTAAAAGCATTAAACAACCAGTTCTGTGATATTTACTAAAACTCTTGACAGTACTCTATACACATATTTAATGAGTTCTATACTCATATTTAATATAGTTTTCGCCAACCACTTGTCATTTACACACCAAGAGCTTCTCTTATCCCAGTGGCATTGATGTTCACAAGTTATTTCATTCATTTGAAGAATTGTAGGAACCGTCACAGTAATATCTTGTTATTTGACTCAATTTAACTTGTAACATTTTAGGGTTCATTTTTCTTTACTTTGTGGGTGATGTCTCAGAAAAGATTAGATCTTGCAAGAAAGTTAAGAGATATAATAAAGGCACTTGATGATTTGTCACAAGTAGGATGGGTTTTACCCATGTCAGACTAGTGAGTGGTTTGACAACACGGGTCTGCCTGAGATTCTTCATCAGTTTAAGTACCCACAGGACTCCCAAATGCTTTGCAAGTGAGAAGACAAGGGGTAATGGGTATAAGCTGAAAGAGGGTAGATTGAAACTAGACATTAGGAAGAAGTTTTTCACTGTGAGGGTGGTGAGACACTGGAACAGGTTGCCCAGGGAAGTTGTGGATGCCCCATCCCTGGAGGTGTTCAAGGCCAGGCTGGATGATGCCTGTCCATGGCAGGGGGGTCGGAACTTGATCATCTTTAAGGTCCTTTCCAACCCAAAACATTCTATGATTCTAAGATTCTATGATTCTATGATTCTATGATAGAAAACATGGTTATTGACCCAAAATAAGTCCTCCAAAATAGAAGTTTTATGCTGATATTACACAACTAGTTTGCAGAAACCATTTCACAACTACAGGTATAGCACAAGTTTTGCCAAACATCGTATTTATCTAAACAAAGAACAGAACAAGCCTCTGTGACGTACATGGCTAACCTAAAAAAGTAAAATTTATAAATGTTTGCAAGAGCTAATGTAATATAATAATAACAAAATTGATAACATAAGTAAGCTACAGAACTGGAATTATTTGCTGGAATTGCTTGGAAAAAATACAAATAAAAACTTTGAGAAAACTCTTTTGTCTACAGATAATTCCCAAACAGGAACAAAGATTAAATGGTAAATTGATTTGTAAATGGGGCACCTAAATAGGTTCAGACAGACAGTGTCCTAAAAGTGTCCACTCCTTCCCATTGACTAGAAGTGGAATTTGCTCATATAGAGAAATCTTGGTTTAGGTAGGATGCCCTGGTTGCTCTGATAAATGACTAGTTGAGTCAGAAAAGTTAACTTTTAGATAGATCTTGGTTGATTAATGAAAATAATTGCAATAAATGGTTAGTTGTGTGACAGCAGAGGATGTTTTTGCAACAACTCATGTTATCCCTCCCCGTTTCTTACTGGCAATTAAAAAAAAGTACTCTGACCCCAAAGGCAATGTTGGCAGTAGCTTGAAAGGCAATCCCATCAAGACACAACATCTATGGCTACAGCCAATCAGCTACCCCAAACTCCCTAGCCAGTCTCATTGGAATTCCTGTCCTGTTTAACACCAGCAAAACTAAAAGCATTTGTTCTTCTTCTGATCTCACAAACATTCCCCTGTCAGCCACTCTGGTGGTTGTTCAGCTATGTTGGTTTTTGTGTGAAAACTCAGGTGACAAAGAGTCTGGGGCCACTTTTAGCCAAGGAAAGAAAGAGGAAAAAAGGTCTTAACACTCTTGTGTAAGTACTTTGACTGATCACAATTAACTATGCTTATCTTTGACAGTCAGTTTCTCATTTAGGTGTCTCTCATTTGTTAGCCAAACAATCACGAGTTTCATATAATCTATATTATTCTCATAAATTAAATGTATCATTTACTCAGTATGCTGTAGGCTTAAAACACACAACTTCTTGTTGTGAGAGCCTAGTTTCCCTGTAGCAAATCCCACTAATACTTTGGGTTCTTTGCTCATGTCAGCAACTACCTTATGGGAAACTTAGTTGTATGCAAATGTATGGGCCCAGACAGAAATTAAAGACCAGCAATAGTGAGCAAAAGTGGGGTTGTTAAAATATTCTCTCATTCAGAGATCAATGTAATGGAAAAACTGGAAGGCAGCTTCTGGTCTCAAGTCTTGATTGGTTGCAAATGTCCTTTAAAATATTACCATTGTGTAGTGAATTCTTCTAAAAGGCTGTTTCTTTTTCCTTTGATTTTTTCAAGGAAAGGGCTTCCTATTTATGTTAGGATGAGTTATAAAATTAAAAAAAAATTGAGAAAAGAGAGCCCCCAAATCAGAAAAGTAAAGATGGAAGTACCCGATTAAAATGATTCATCAGTTCTTCCACCAACGTTTTTAATAATCATTGTTACAGCTCAAAAGTGTCTCAAAAGTTGTACATCTTATAAATGTCTTGGAAAGATATTTGCAAATGCCGTTTCTGCAAGCTATAAACACACACACACAAAAATGACATCACTTTCTGTGCTAATGCCATTACCGGAACATTTTGATTGGTAAAATACATGACAGCTGCAGTTTCATCAACCTAAAAAAGCTATGTATAAACTAGAGTACTAAAGTAGGCCTTCTGAATCAATGTGCATCATATGCACAGGAATGTGCATATGGGAAAATTAAGCATTTTAGTATACATGCAGTTACTTCTCAGTCTCTTGAAACGTACTCCACAAAATTCTTAATTAGAAATTACAATGATGCTCAAGATAACACAGGGAGAACATCAAGCTATCAAAAGCAACAAAAGACATCTTACCTGCACCAGAGCAGATGATATCTTGAGAATTCTTACACATTTCATTGCTTTTCTTCCTTGTAAGATTGCAAGTAGTTGGATACTGACAAGCTTCACCATACCAGCCATCATCACATTTGCACTTCCCACAGTCACACTTCCCATGGCCTAGCAATGGAAGGAAAGAGGGTGTCAAGTCCTTTTTTTCATTCAGAAAGTGTTATTTTCTAAAACAGCTTTCAAAAGAGATTCCATCAATTATAGTTTTAAATGAATATGATTAACAGATTCACTTTACATACTTCATATGCAATTAAAAGTAGAAATTATTAAATATGATCTTAAATATGCAGAGACACCTGAAATCACCATGACTTTGAAATCTAACGTATGTTATTTTGATGGGTCTACAAATGAATGCTTATTTTAAGAAGAAACACAGAACTAAAACATCCTGTATGAACGATGGGATTTCTTATTACTTTCTTCTCTTTCTCATTCCCATACTTGTTTACAACAAAACTCGAAGTGCAGAAATTCCATTCACCTCCTTGGATAGCTGTAGGCAAAGAACAGCTAGAAACTGCAGCCTGAGGACACAGGATTAGCTATTACAGTACAAACCCTGAAAAGGAGTGTGGAGATGGCCAGCTACAGTGGCAAGCAATAACTCCCTCATGCAGCAGCAGTATCTGCAGCTCCTACCTCTACTGAAAGGTACAATTTCTTCTTCCTGAAGTCTCCTCTGGCTGCTTCCTCCAGTCTTCTCCCAGGCACTTCGACTCTACTTGGCTGCTGGGCCAAAACTGTTTTTTGTCTTTAAATATTGACACAATATTGGCAATGTAGTATATTTTGATTCTCATAGGACTATGTTTACTTGTGATTATTTGCTAAGTGTGAAGTCTCAGAAATAAAATACGTATCATCTCTGATGTACTACTGAAACTCTTTCCATAAACTGCAGTCATTGAGTACTGTCTTGAATCTTTACAGGCACATGTCAGTGTGGCAGGTGTAAATGTCCAACTCAGAAGGAAATGGACTGGTCTGTGACAAATTTTGTGAATGTGATGACAAAGAATGCATAGATAACAAGATAGAACCTCACCTGGAGTACTGAGTCCAGCTCTGGAGCCCTCAACATAAGAAAGACATGGACCTGTTAGAGTGAGTTCAGAAGAGGGCCACGAAGATGGTCAGAGGGTTGGAGCACCTCCCATACAAGGACAGGCTGAGACAGATGGGGTTGTTCAGCCTGGAGAAAAGAAGCTCCAGGGAGACCTTATAGCAGCCTTCGTGTACTTCAAGGGGACCTACAGGAGAGGTGGGGAGGCACTCTTCAGCAGGGAGTGTAGGGATAGGACAAGCAATTAAGCTGAAAGATGGTAGATTTAGATTAGATATTAGGAAGAAATATTTTCCCATGAGGGCAGTGAGACACTGGCACAGGTTGCCCAGAGAAGCTGTGGATGCCCCATCCCTGGAGGTGTTCAAGGCCAGGCTGGATGAGGCTTTGAGCAACCTGGTCTAGTGGAAGGTGTCCCTGCCCATGGCAGGGGGGGTGGAACTCTGTGATCTTTAAGGTCCCTTCCAACCCAAACTATTCTATGATTCTATGAACTTAAAGAACCTATTCAGCTGCTCAATCTCTTAAGATGCGGCATGCTAGCTTTCTATCAGTTGAACAATACATTGCTTAAAATTTGTAATCTAATATCAGGAACAATTATAAAAGTCAGGAAAGTTTATTTTTTAAAATGCGTTTTCTTTAGAAATACCCAAATATGCAGATGCATTGACAATTTACACTACTTATGTTGCTCATTATGTATTATGATGATCCTTAAGGATTCTGTGATTCTATGTTTCTATGTTCCACACTAAATTCCAGGTGCAAATTTCTATTCACGTAGTTCTTTAGCATTCCTTTACAATTTTAGGTAGCAAATGTGAAAAAAATTGTGAATCTTTTAAACTAGAATATTTGATTTTAAAATTAATATAATTTTAATGTATATTAATTTGATAGAAGATTCATTTCCAATCACTACATCTCAAAAATAGAATCTTATTGAAGTCTATTTTAAATGCATCTGTTGCCTGCAGTCACAAGTCAACTGCCTGAAAATACAAGCCCAGTCTACTGCCACTAAGAAGGAATTTAAATAACTATTGTAAATAGAAAATTTTAAAGAGAAAGAAGAGTATCTTGTGTTGCTCAATAAATTTTGTTTGCTTTCCAAGATGGTCCTAAGACAAGATACGGCTCAATAGCTGAAAAAACCATAGTTCAGAACCATATGAGAATCATGTTAGTTCTCGTTTTGAAACAGGAGTTGCCAACTTAAAAATTGCTGAATAACCCTCTGTTGGTAATGGACAAGGAAAAAAAATAGGATATAAAATATGTAATAAAAACCTACTCTTGTGATTACTCTGCTTCACTGACAAGTGACAGCATAAGCCATTCTGGAAAATGGTGATAAATCCCATGGTAGCTTAAAAAAATTAAAGACGAAACATGACCACCTCCCTATATTTTCCTTACTTTCAAGGATTACTTATCACAATGACTTTGCATTTTCCATGTTAGGCACTCTTGTGATTTAACAGTTTGATGTCTGCTGGTGAAGAAAAGATGCTTTAATAAAAGCAGGACTGATTTTCCTCTTCCCATGTCTAAATGACAGAGTAAGACAAAGTCCAAGTGGAGACCGGTGACAAGTGGTGTTCCGCAGGGGTCGGTACTGGGACCAGTGTTGTTTAACATCTTTGTTGGAGACATGGACAGTGGGATCGAGTGCACCCTCAGCAAGTTTGCCGATGACACCAAGCTGTGTGGTGTGGTGGACACGCTGGAGGGAAGGGATGCCATCCAGAGGGACCTTGACAGGCTTGAGAGGTGGGCCAATGCAAACCTCATGGAATTTAACAAGGCCAAGTGCAAGGTCCTGCATGCGGGTCGAGGCAATCCCAAGCACAGGCTGGGATTGAGAATGTCACAGGCTGGGCAGAGAATGGATAGAGAG